TCTATGTAATTTCTATAATTTAAAACCTATTAATATAATAAGATGATAAAGTTTTAATATATTTATTGTCTGGAACACAAGAAATAATAAGAATTAAACTTGTGTTAATATGGACCTAACAAAATGAGAGAAATAGTGTAACAATTAATACAACAATAAAAATAACAGAATTAGTATAATCTGGATTTTTTTTCTCTGGAGATTATTCATGAATATAAGATCCAACCACTAAACAAAAATTACATGCATATATATTCTATTGCATAATCTAAATTAAATTTAGTTCATGTACAAAATGATCCTAAAATAATTAGAGCACTTCAATACCATATTATTTTAACAACAAAATTGTTTTTTGCCAAAAGTCTCCAATATCCATGATATATGTATGAGAGATATTTTACCATATTTTTATCTCTTTTTTTACCATATTTGTATCTCATGTCTAATCACTGATGTTAATTTGAGGAAGGATATTTTTTTGTAATAAAATCATTTTGAATTTAATTAACAAGTTGAGATTTTTTTTAAAATAAAAGTGAAATATTTTGGGAACTTATTTTTTATTTTCCCAAAATTAAAAGATTGCTATTTTTTACCAATTGTTGCCATTAACATTTCATTTTCTTGACTAATTTTTATCAATGTAAAATTAGTTTAGTTAACAATAATTAAAATTCTGTTGGTCCGAGGATTGGCATGCTATTGTTGTTATTTTACATGTAAATATATAACCTAAGTATTAAAATAATAATAGCTACTTAAGAAAAGGAAATAGGTGCTCAATTGATTACATTCAAACTATGAATTCTGTTAGTGCATAATTGCTAAATTATATTTTATTTATAAGAAATCAATATGCATCATTTATTGACCAGGACTAAATAACTGATTACTTAACAAACCATATCTAAACACATGATGTGATATATATTGCATTTGGTCACCTTTATACTCATACCATTTTCCTTTCTTTCTATTTATATTTTAGCCGTGCAAACTTCTCTTGATTATATTAGTGAAAATGCATAAAATCTTTTACAAAATTATTTCAATTTATTTACAAAATATTAGTACTTTTAGGAGAAGCAATCCATTGTAGGAATGGTTTACTAATTTTTTTAGTAAACATAACTACTACATTAAAAAGTTAAAAAAAAAACTTGATTTTATTATGCTTTAATTAGGAGTGCTTTTGAAGAGAAAAATTAGGGGATTAATTTCTTTGATTCAAGAATTTTTAGAGATTGTAATTATCAAAAGAAAAAAGAATTTTTAGAGATTGTAACTCTCTTATTATTTGATTTAATAAATTTCATATTTATGCAAGTTTTCATGACTTTTATTTTCGGCAACGAAATTTGTGCTTACAATTAGATACAAATATGGTAAAATATCCCTCATATGTATGTCATGGATATTTGAGACTTTCAATAAAAAAAATTTTTGTTGTTAAAATAACATTGTATCATAGTGCGCTAATTATTTTTGGACTGTTTTATATGTGAATAGAATTTAATTTAAATTATACAATAGATTATATGTGCAAGTGATTTTCATTTAATTGTTGGATCTTATTTTTATGAACAATCTCTCAAGGAAAAAAAGTCCAGATCATACTGATTTTCTTATATTTACTGTTATACTAATTTGGTCATTTTTATTGTTATACTATTTCTCATTTTGTTTGGGCTATAAGTCTTATTAATTCTTGTGCCCCAGATGTAAATTTATTAAAACTTTATCATCTTATTATATTCATAGGTGTTAAATTATAAAAATTGTGATGTATAAACAAGTGATATTCTATATATAACTAGGAAGATTTGTTGTTATTGTTATCCAAACTTTCAAACTTTTCAAAAATTGAAAATGATTAAAAACTTATAATATGACAAAATTTTATTACATATTTTACAAGGTTATCTGAAATGTGAAACTACTTCATAGTATTTTAAAATATATAAATACAAAAAAAAATTTAAATTATACCTATAATCATTTATTGTATAGGTATATTATGAGTACTTACTAACTAAGGTACTAAGTTTTAATTATTAATAAAATATCTTATCATTATTTCAAATAAATTTCCTAATACTAGTTTGAGATAATTTTTTAATGTAAAATTGTACATGTATTCCAAAAATCAGTAAGTTTTGATCATTAATCAAATTTACCATGTTATTAGTAAGAATTACTATTTAAGTATAAAAACTTACTATTACTTGAACTAAACTTGCTCTCTAAAAAGTAAGTTTGGGATATAAAGTAGTAATTTATTTATTAAAAAGTAAGTTTAATCTTTTTTCCAATTTACCTTTTGAGGTATAAAAATTACTAATCTATTAAGGTTAACTTACTATTTTAGATGGGAAACTTACTCCCATATTTTTAGGTGTTATCCTATTTAAGTGGATGGGTCCAACAAGTAATCAAATTATCACTAAAAGTACAACAACATGTTATATTAGGTAAAAACTGTTTCATTACCATCACTCTCGTTACTAAAGCATTATCCCTTAAAGAAATGGAAACATCGAAGTCAAGCAATCACGTCGCCATGCTTCCTCCCCCTCTTCCTGCACATGCACCCTCTTCATTGTCCTCTATTTGTCTCTCTCACACACAGACATATGCTAAGGCAAAAAATTTTGACGAACTCAAATCTCTGGAGATTAACTAATCTAGATCCAAAGGACTATTCAAGTTGTCTATATTTGGGTGAAGGTTGGTGATGATGATCAATACGTCTATGCGTGGTTTTGGTTCCTTCAGCAGATGTAATTGTGGGAAATGGATGACGATGATGATAGAAGAAGAGCTGACAAGAATGCTAAAAGAGGAATAAGTTAATCACAGTAACATAGGCTCAGTCATTACGACGGGCTTGGGTGTTTCTGTAAATAAGTATTCAAACACCAGAAAATAACAGAGAAAAGAAACTATTTTCCTGTCAAAGGTTTTCTGTGAAAGACTTTTTTGAAGAAAATATTTTACTCCCTACCAAACCGACCGAAACGTGTAAAATGTAATGATGTGGCCGCAAAAGTCATACATTGGAAATGAAAAATTAGTTTGAGGATTAAATTGGTTAAAATGAATTATGATAGATGAAATTGGTTTTGACGCTGTTCTCGACTGAACTAAAATAGAACTGGTAACTTGTGAGGCCCGTGATCTCTCCTCCCCCATGGCAAAACAAGGCCATTTCCAACCTCATTCTGGAATGCATTTGGCCATTAAATCTTTGTCTGACAAATCAGAGAATCTCATCATATTACCAAAAAGGTATCTAAAGATAAAGGCTAAAGAGGGCCCTCTGGTTGCCGGTTATCTAACCAGAATAATTGAACATCCATTAATGATCTATTTTTCGTTTGCTGGGACAATACTTCTATGGATCAGCGGTTTCCTCCGGCTCCAGCTGCAATCGGTTGGTGCCTAAGAAGAACTTCCTGCGAGCAAAGCACTATGCACTCGTCTCGCCCACTAAGTGTCCTTCTTTGCACAAACATTCTAATGATTAAGTATTTAATGATTGACTGAGTCGACTAACCAAAAACAACAGTATTATCCTTCCAATAAATTATGCAAACTAAAAGAAATGAAAATTTTCTCTTTAAAAAATATAACAAACCTAATGTTGCCTTATAGTTATAGAATTCTGCTAACTTTAATATATTGTTATTATTATTATTCAGCCTGAAGTCATAACTGAAAGTGATATATACAAAGAAAAGGGAGATTAATTCAACATGAATAATAGAAAATTTTAAGGAAAATAAGAAAAGGGAGATTTTCACGTAATCAACAGAATATTTTTGGGTAGTCAATACTACGGAGAAGATGAAAAATATTTATATTAAAAGGATGCCAAAAAATTTAAATAAACAACTACCCCTACATTTTTTTTTTTACTTTTATTTCTTTGTTTGCCTTTTTTTAGGTAAAAAATACAGGAATTATTATTTACTTTTATCTTTTTGTCTTCTTTGTAAGGTCAAAATTATCATGTACTCTACAATTACAAAGAAAATTAAATTGATAAAAGGAAAAGAAAACTCTTTTGTTTATTTTATTAACATCTCTTCTTATTTTTGTTGGGTTAATGTTTAATGTCATGCATATTTGAGTTTATTGGACTTTAAATCAGATGATGATGATGCTAACGATAATAATAATGATAAATAAAGTTAGCAAATTTTTATAAAATAAGGTAGTACTTTGCTTGTTATTTGTTAAGAGCAAGGCCTTTCTTTTTTAGGTTTATGTAAACCGTCATAAGGATAATATTTTCATATTTAAGGACTAATATGTCCCATATTTACACTTAGAGGAGGAAAACAAGTATTGCACCAAACCTCAAGGGTTAACCTACTTAATTTTGGCTTGGAGGGACCAGTTAGAAACAAATTTCTAGAACCAAAATTTCAAATTATGGGACCTAATACACAGTTCTAAATGTTAAAGATCAAAATAGGATCACTGATTAAAGTTGAAGTACTCTTGGAACCATTATTTTGCCTCTAAACATCGTCATGGACAAGTGTTAATCCGAGGCTGAAATTCATTGTAATCTACCTTTCTTTTATACTTGAGAATAGTACAATTTTCAATATGTCATACTCATAGTCAACTAGTCAATTAGATTTCAGGCATTTGTGCTATGGTTTGAGAGAGTGAGGTCGTAAAACAAAGTAAACAAGATCTTCTGTATGCTTTTGACATCACTTTATGTTTGGCTACACTAAATATTTGGTCTTACCATTTCTTTTCAGCTTATCCACCATATTGATTGGTTTAAGTATACCAAAAAAAAAAAAAAAAAGCAATTTGACAATGGTTTACTGATTTGCAGATTAAACCAACCAAAAATTAGCCTTGGCTTTGTTGTCAATTTGAAATACTAAAATTACTCATTTTTTGGTGGAAACTTGCCAAATTGACTTCATATTGCAAGAAAACATTTTGTCATCACCTCCAAAGTGCTCAAAAAAGACACACAAAATCACACACTCATATACTTAAATGGAACTAGCAAATACATGGAATGCATATTACATGATCACTGATCCAACTCTTATTTGTATTTCACATTACAAAGTACATACTATTATAGTAAGCCTGTTTAAGCATTCATGATTAATCATGACCTAGCTAGAAGCTGGCTTTATTAGTTTTGAGGCTCAGCATCTGCAGCCTCACCAGGATGTCCACCATGGCCGCCACCCCCGTGTCCTCCATGTCCTCCTCCGTAGCCACCCCCATGGTGTCCTCCGTAGCCACCTCCATGGTACTTGGCTTCTCCTTCCTCATTTGTCTCAACTGTCTTGGCTGCAACAAAAGATAAATAGGGTATGGGCGTTACGAAAATGTAATCGCAATTTTGACATTTGGACCAAATTGTGTACATGCTTTTAGGTTACCGAGTATTTTAGCAAAACACATCGTAATTCTTTTGAAAATTTGCCTTTCAACGTATGTGTCAAATTATTAATTTACAGATATCTTTAAAATGGCAAGCCTGCTTAAGCATTCATGATTAATCATGACCTAGCTAGAAGCTGGCTTTATTAGTTCTGAGGCTCAGCATCTGCAGCCTCACCAGGATGTCCACCATGGCCGCCACCCCCGTACCCTCCATGTCCTCCTCCGTAGCCACCTCCATGGTGTCCTCCGTAGCCACCTCCATGGTACTTGGCTTCTCCTTCCTCCTTTGTCTCAACTGTCTTGGCTGCAATAAAGATAAATAGGGTATGGGCGTTACGAATATGTAATCGTAATTTTGAAAATGTAAAGTTTGGCCCAAATTGTGTACATGCTTTTAGGTTACCGAGTATTTTAGCAAAATACATCGTAATTCTTTTGAAAATTTGCCTTTCAACGTATGTGTCAATTTATTATTTTACAGATATCTTTAAAATGGCTAATTACTACCAACTAATAGCTATTTTATCATAGTGAATCATAGTTTCTGAAAGTTAATAAATATAAAGATTTATTCAAAATGAGAATCTTAAATCCATATTTTATGCACCGAGATGTACCATTATAAAATATAGTTTTACTCTAAAAATGCAGGAAAAGTAATCCAGTCACAAACGACCATACTCCAACTCCCACGTTTGGAAAGGCTTGACACTTAGAAAGTTAGAATCCAGTTACTGAAAGGAGAGGTGTATTCAATCTTTTTAACCACAGCTCAGCCATGTTTCTTAGTACTCCGGCACTTCACATGTACAACAAAAATCTATCTGAAACCTTAAACGCTGTGGTCCTAAATGCTGAATTAAAATATGGCGCATGTAAATTAGAAAGAGAAAAAATGATGAAATGTGAATTGAAGAATAAATGTCTTACAATTGTCAACTGACTTGGCAGCCACCTCTGAGGTAATCATTAGAACTACAGCCATGGAAATGAAAAAGAAAAGAAGTGTCTTGGAACCCATTTTTGCTCAAGGAAAATTTATGTATTGAAGACTGATTTTGAGAAGGATGAGGAAGCTGGTGCAGATTGATCTCTATTTATAGGAAAACCTATGCCACATTCCCATCGAAAGGGTCCCGGAGTCGGCCCACCAATGTAGTAGGTGTTGAAGAGGCAGTTGTCGTGCTAGGTCGAAAGTCCATATAACCGTAAACAAATACAAAGATGTACGGAGAAGCATTTGTTCTAATTTCTACAAAGGTCTTTGAGGCATATAGACTTCGAGCACCATGGAGAAGATAAGGTTCATGTCTCCCATATTCAACAGTATGTCCCAGCATGGTTGATAATTTGGACTCTGCACCGACTTCGATGGATTATATGTTTTCCAATTTGATTGACGTGTCAAATATTTTATAAGAAGAAAAGAAACAAGGAAGAACACGTCAAACTTTGCAATAGTTCCAAGAAAAGCATGATTAGAATTATGTAACTTTTTATTTATATCACAAGATACAATACTATCTTTTGTTATGTATGTTAAAAACCTAAAAGTTGTAAATATAAAATAGGGTCATGTCCTTTTGATCCAACAGATAGTTAAGCGACAATTCGTCAAGTTATTATTACATGGTTATGATTACTGCACTGGAAACTCTAGTTTTGGTTTGATTTTAGTTCCGATTCTTTTTCTAGATATGGTTCTAGGTTCTTGCAGTTATCATTCTAGATCTTCTAATTGCACTTAAATGCTTATTGTTTCACCATTGAATTTGAGAAAATATAGCAATGAATCTGGAAGAAATATAAGACTTTTATTATATTATTAGCTGAAAAAAAATCATACAAATTATACGCAAAAATACCTCGAAACTAATTGGTTGTTTTAAATAAAATAAAAAGCTGCATGACGTGGTCATTGATATTGAAATATAAAAAGAAAAATATCTCGATTAGACAATTATACAATTTACAATTAGTTGAGCTTTCAAATTTGGACTTTAGGCTAGGCCAAAATAAGCCTAGGGGCTAGTGTTGAGTTTTCTGCTTAAATAAATTTGGATGGTTCAAACCGACTCTTGAACTTGCAGTTTTGGCTTTGGTTGTAATATTTTTATGAACCCAAACGGGAACATTTAGTCCAGGTTCTGGCCCCCGTTCTGGTATAACAAGTCCAATTTCAGTTTTGAATTCGTCAAACCGCTAGTGTGATTTTAGTTAGGCTATGATTTAAGCCTAATGTTAGAATCCAAGCACGAAACAAATAACTATTGAGATATTAAGTACACAATAATTTAATGATAAACAAGTCACAAGCATGAAAAATAGACGACACACAATATTTAACATGGTTCGATACCACCATTGAGCCTACATCCATAGAAAGAAACCCGTTCTTTATTATGAGAGGAAAATCTTATACAAGAATACAACTTGAATTCAAGTTCAACCCTTGTATACCATCTTTCATTTCCCAAGAACCCTCTCTTACCCCATGTATAAGGTTACATGTCGCTTCTTGTGTGCTCTTATGTATCTTGTATAGTATATCAATTCACCTATTTATAGGGAAAATTATTTAGCCAAAATCCAAATAACAATAGGAAATTAATTCTAATTCTTAGACTTGTATAGAATATGAAATAACTTCAAATCCTAGACTGAATAGAATATTTTTTGGCTACTACTTCAAGTAATTAAAACTAATTAGGAAACTAGTTATTTTCACACAAAACAAAAAATCTACTTAAAAGAAATTAAGCCAATTTCATAACACCTAAGTTACGATGACTCTTTAATCTCATCCCTCTCCCACTTAGAGAAGAAAAGTGAAAAAAAAAAAGGCATTTATATAACAAGTCCAATTTCAGTTTTGAATTCGTCAAACCGCTAGTGTGATTTTAGTTTGGTTATGATTTAGGCCTAAGTTACGACGACCCTTTCATTTCATCCCTCTCTTACTTAATAAAAGGAAAGTTAAAAGCAGAAGGAACCATGCATTTGTCAATCCATTATGCTTTTTTGTCAAAATAGAGGCATTTATATTTATAGGAAACGTGTATCCTTAGAAGTATGCATTTGCACTTTTCCTCCAAGATGCTGATCCGGTTTTCCGCCATTTAATACCTCAGGACACGTTGAGTCATTATGCCCGCACAGTTTAATGATCGACTTGCTTCGCCTACCAGTTAAAGACTTTTTTATTGTCTTCGTGCCTCGTGTTGTCTAAAGAATGGTACAACTGTGGTGAAAACGTGAAAGTTTTCAGTGTCGTTAGGAAGGAGGCAAAGAAGCTTGCGATTTCAATCCTGAATGGAGATCAAAGTTTTCAGTGTCACATGAGAAAGTGAATCATTTGGTTGCCCCAATATTTTTTTTTTCCAGAGATATATTTTTTTGGGTGTCAAATGATTGGTTGCCCAATCATTTGGTTGCCCAATATATTTGGTTGCCCAATCATCTGGTTGCCCAATAATTTGGTTGCCCAATGTTTGCAACAAACGACTTTCAACAACATGGTGACAAAGTCCATTAAGGGTTTTCTTTTCTTTTCTTTTCTTTTTTTTTTTATAGCAAGTGATGTTTTTATATTACCCATTTTAGCTCCATAGTAAACTGCTTTCAAATGGCATCTGCATCCTTCACTAGTCCAAGGTTGGATTCATTTTGAAAAAGTTGAGATGGTTACCTAAATAGAAATTTGGTGTTGTGGCAATAAATTTTTTTTGAGGGCAATAAATTAAGTGTTGTTCCGCTACCACTAGCCAGTTTCCTCGAACACCATAATTACAAAACTAATCCGCATTAACATGTTGCATTTAAGAAATTCCTACCTTCTTGTTGCTTTATGCTTCTTTTGCCATAAGAAGCCCTTCGTGTTCAGCATCAAGACTATAAATTTTATCGAAGAATTATACTCTCTGCCACTGATTAAAAGAAGAAGCATCACAGATTTAGCCTTAATGGTCATCAATTAAAAAAATTAAAGTATTATATATGAATAGCAGTGGCTAACCAGAGGTCAGGATTTGGTGGGGCAAGACTAGTGGAGATGCGTGCTTGACGGGGCAATCTATATTTTTGTAAAGGGAAAAATGCAGTTTTGATTTTCAATGTTTTGCCCATCTATCAAACAGGTCTATTATGTTTCAATCATAACAAATTTGGTCTCCAAAATTATGGATTTTATACAAATTTAGGAAAACTAATAGAAAATCACAATAACTAACGATCAAATTCAAATTAGCAATAGTGAAAGTTTTGACATTATATTTGTAGTCCCCAAGGTTCGAAGTTTTGATCAATATACTCTCTTGGGATTTAAATAATAAGCATGGTTATGGTTCCAAAATGAAATTAAACATATGACAAATGTTTTCCCAAATCTAAAAATCTCTAAAAGCACTTCACATCGGCATAATATTATCTTTAGCCGAAAGAGTAACTCTAGTTAGAATTGAAAACTATACCCAAATAATATACAAAATAAAATTAGTGGAAGAAGAGAGAATACTAAGTTCAATACATAACTTTAATCTAACTACTATACACAAATTCTTGCAATACTTGTGGACTTAAATTTCAAGTGGCTGTAGTTAGAAATTGTGATTGCAATAATTAGTGAGATAAGTACCAATCTTTTAGGGATTTTTAAAAATTTCCTTTCATTTTGTCTTGTCTTTTCTTCCTGTTAAACTAAATGTTCCAAAAACAAAGTTTTAAAGTAATTATTTCTAATTTTTGTGTACATTGATATTTTCATTGAATAAAATAGTTCTATAAAATACCTATTTTATTTGAAACTTCATTGATATCCTATTGAAATGGAAAACTAAAAGGAAAGAAAAATTTATTAAATTAGTAACTTAATTTACATATATTGTATATTCCTCATATTTTGAAAGGCTATGTAATTGGATGTTTAATAATCAATGTAAGCGTAATAATGAAAGAACATATATATGGTCCATCAATTATTCATGATGCAAAAAATAATTACACATTATGTCAAATTTGAGATCAACACTATATGCCAAAAAGAAGAAAGCTATAACAAAACGAGTGCCATGAATAAATGAAGAAAATAACACGAGAACAAAAAAAGAAGTTCATCTAGAATTCACAGTACACAAGTAAAGTAATTTTGATCTAAAAACCCATGTATCACTATTTGAAACTTAATAGATAATAATGATTCAATCTCCAAACAATGGGGAC